TTGAAGATTTCCAGAGGACTTCACCATTGAAATTCACAAGAACTATAGTGAAACTGACAATGCCCACGTGCATGGCAGCTGGATGTTGGAATAAATCGGGTAAAAGTGAAAAAATTAAATTGGTTATTTCACCTTTTGAATTCCTGATCCTCCACGGACGGGTTGGTCGTTGGATCGCCAACTTGAAGAGGGAGGATTTTCCATTGAACTTCTGGCCAGAGAAAAAAACACATAATATGTAGCCAACATTTGGAAGAAGAATGTTTTCAAGATGACTTGGATAATAGCGCGTTGTGACAACACCAGATACAGCACTAGGCCTTGATCAACAGCCGATACCGCACAGTGACGTCACAAACCAGTAGGTGGCAGTAGTGTTCTTTGACAAACATGGATGCCTCCAGTAAAGCACATTCAAATGAAAAACACACTTAATTAAAACACTTATCATTTTTGGAACAGTATGTAATAATTTCATATGTAAAGTACTTTCAGAAGTTTAAATTCAGAATATGACCGGACTTTTCCTTAAAACCTCTGAGTGAGGTGGGAATGCATTTTTATTCAGTTACCTGGTAAATGGTTTAGCCTATTGCTTTTCTATAACTGGTGTTTGGAGAAGTTCTGGTAATTCTCTGAACAATTTATTTTTTCACAATTTCACAAGTACAACTGAATATTATTGAGGTGTATTTAAGAAGGTTCACAATCCAGGGACCTGGCTAAATACTCATATGCTTCATCAAGACACCTGGTCTATTGGAATTTTAAATGTGCATTTCTAATTTTTTGGGTTTTTTTATTCATGCCTTCTAATTAACCTGAGTTTTTTTTATTTTTCTCTAGATCAACAAATAGGTTTAGGGACATGTTGGAAAGTGCGTATTGTAGCAGGCATATTGCTGCTCAACACACATTTTAGCAATGATTTTATAAACTTCTTTTTTTTACTCATTTCCTTTATATTCACCAAGTATTATTAAAAATTAGCTTTCTTTTGTTGAGCTATTATCTTGACATTTTTTCATTTTAGCTATGTTAAGTTAACTGTGTTCCTACTTTTCTGAAAATGCTTTGCCACGTTTACCATGGATTTGTAATATATTTTCATATTTCATTCTCTTTTTGGTTCTAGCATTTACAAAGAAAATAATAGAGAATTTAGGGAATCTTTTTATAATTATAGAATTATCAAAAGATTCTCCATTAACTACAGCCACATCTGCAAACTACATATTTTAAAGTCTGTCTTAATATTAGCTAGGTACCATCAAAGTGTTGGTACCGTCTTTTTAGGGGAGTGGCGGCCTAGTGTTTAGGGCATTGCGCTTGGAATCCAGAGGATTCTGAGTTCGAGCCCCACTTCGATAGACTGCCAATCTGGGTCACTGAGTAAGACCCTTAACCCCACACTGCTCCCTGGGTGCCGTACAGTGGCAGCCCTCTGCCTACCCAAGGGGATGGGTTAAATGCAGAGAGTGAATTTTGTTGCTCTTTACTTGTGACAGGGTAATGACAATAAAAAAGCTGAAACAAAGTGACTATTTTTGGGTAAAAAAAAATCACAAGGCAGGGAGGGCTTCTAACAATCACTGTATTATGTGTCCATGGTTTTCAAAAAAAAATTGTGGGGGATTTTGATCATTAATAGTAGATTCTTAATGAATATACATATATCTGTTCTTTATTTCTACTCATTAGAATAAAATTTGACATTTTTTCATCAAGCACAGAATATATTTGAGTATACAAGTTCAGTTCATCGCAAACATGGTCTTGGTCAATAAACAAAACAGAAATGTCTTGTGTTTTTTTTTTTGTTTTTTTTTTTGTTTTTTTTTTTACTGTGAATACATTTTGGCAAAGTAAAACTGAGAAGGCTATTCTCTGAAAATGCCATCTATGGAAATCGGTATTTACCTTGATAATGAGTAATTTATGACTTAAAACTTTTTCTTGGGAATTTTTAGGGTAATTGCTCCTTTGAAAACAAGCACAAATAATGGGGGAAAAAATGTTGTTTTTCAGATATAGAATGACAAAATTGAGGATTTTGGATTACACTGCAATACCATGCGTAGCAAAACTGCAAGCCTTTAGGGACTCTGGTCCGTATCCATTTTAGGTGCCAGGTGATGAATAGATGGGATGTTCTTGTAATCCATTGATAATTGCTTCCAGTTCTAATTTTTATTTTTTGTCCAGATGTACAGCCCGATGACCACTTCCAGTTCTACGGTTTCTCACGTTATGCCAGAGAACTAAATGAACTGACTGCAGACTTGAAAGATGTCCTCCCCCCAACAGATACTCGCTTCAGGCCAGACCAGAGGTAATGAGCGGGTTTCCTTTTTGATTTGAAATATTTTAAATATACATGTTTTTCTCTGAATTCTCTTAATTTCCTTCCACTGTTCAACAGGCTCCTAGAAGAGGGGAAATTGGCAGAGGCAGATAAAAGAAAAGACGAGGTGGAGGAAAAGCAAAGAGAAAGGAGGAAGGAAATGGCTAAAAGAGGAGAGGAACACATCCCTAGGTTCTTCAGGTAAATTATATTTTATAATCATTATGTGGACAAAAATATCATTACTGAGGGGATTAAACTTTTTAACTAAGGTTATCAAAGATGTAACTTTTTTTTTTTTTCTCTTAACAATACATTGTTCTACCAGCTTCATTGCTAAGTGTTGCAATACAATACACTCGTACACACAATGAGCCTCTAAAGGAACCCACCTTGCTTTCCAGGGCTTTATGTTAGGGAAGAAAAAATATTATAGTCTGTTATTTTTTACATACAATTCTGTCAATTGTGCATGTGTAGAAAATATTTAGTGGGCTTCCCTGGCATCCCATGTTTGTGATATTAGGACAGTCTATATCGCACATCTATATTTCAACACAGGATAAAACTTCCACACTTCAGTGTCCATTGTTGGGACACTAGATTAACAGTTTTATGCTTCAGCGGGCGTTGACGTTGCCCTTCGGGCAAGTGGCTTTCACATTTCATTTGCCCAGAAGCAATTTTTACTTGCCCAGTATGTTTGATATATATACAAAAATGAATATTAGGAACTATATTTATCAATGAAACATGTTTTTTTTTGTAATTCAGTAAGTTTCCAGGTTCCTGGTGTGTACATGCATGCATCAGATAATGAACTCAAGCCTACATTACCGTGTTAACATGCTTCTCAATCCTTTCTGCACATTCTTTTAAAACTAAACTTGCTTTAAAATGTTGTGTGCTTGGAAAAATATAAATTGTAATGTTAAAAATCTAAAAAAAAAAAACTTGACAGGTTAAAAACTTACACTACTACTACTCACCAATTTAACATGTTTAGCTCTAACATTTAAATGCACCACTCCAATGTTTAAGAGAAAAAAAAATGTTATGAAAATTTTTTAATGTATGACCACTGTACAGAAGACTGCCATATGAATTATTTACACTGTGCGCATACAATTATTTTTCTAATCCCTGACTCATCATTTTTAATCTAGCATGTATTATAGTATAGATTAAATTCATCATCCAGCTGCTGCTCTGCAGAATTCTCTCCCCAAGAGCTAAATCACGCCATCTAGCGGAAAATCATGCAGCTTTTTCAAATCATGCAAGAATGTGTACAAAAAACAAAAATGGCGCTGGCAATGCTTGTGGGTCGTTTTTAGTGAATGTTGGGGATTTTAAAGTAATTTTGAGTGATAAATATTTTTTTTTGCGTTCATTGCACTTGCCCGGCGAGCAAATGCAATGAAATTTGTACTCTCCCGACAATAAAAACTACTTGCCCCGGGAGATCGGGCAATGGTTTACATCGAGCCCTGTTGAGGTTATTGCACATAACTGACTTTAGTTTTTATTTTTTTTTACAGAAAAGCACTTGATGAGGCTGGCAGAGAGGTGTGGCTGTATAATGGAACCTACTGGAAGATCCGTCAAGATCCAGGCTTTTCAAAGACTGAAAATCTAGACTTGTGGTAGAGCACTAAATGTACATGGTGAAGTTTCAGATTGCAGAGTACAATTTTTCTTAAAGTACAAATTGCATCGGTACTGTGGTGACTCAACTACACAAACTAAGACTGTGTGCTCTGTACATTGCTCCTAGCATCGGGATTGCTTGATTGTTCATAGAAACATGAATGAACCTTAATTTAGTATGCAACATGGATGCAAGATGGAATGATGAAACCTGTTAACCAAATTAGTTTAGTTTTGGTCAAACTGTCGGTATCAGACTTTTTATTTTCTTCCATTTAACTTCTGTCTAATTTGTATTTGTCTTACCTTAAACACATGGAGAAAACATTGTATTTTCAGCTTTTACACATCAAGGGCAGGGGTAGTTATATTTTAGGGGAATGTGTTGTGTTGCTCTTTTTCCTGCCACACAATACATATGTCTGACATGAATTGTATTTTCTCATTTGGTTTGGCATTGTGATCTCTTTTGGTGTTTTGGGTATACATTACATAATCAAGTTTTATTGTTTATTTTTGCTTTCATTTAGTGATCGACTAGAATTACATAGACCAAAATTGCTTGGCTTTTACCGATTTCAACATTTTGCCAACAAAAAAATAGAAAATTCTTATTTTAAGTCCCCCCCCCCCCTTCCAAAATAAACAATCCTATCAAGACTTTGCTTTTATTAATGACTTCATTTGAAAAGGCTTAAAAACTGGTTTGCAGAATACATTTTAAATACAAGTTTTTAGAATACAAGTCCCTGACAAGGACCAACCCAGAGTTAAAAAATGACTTTGTTCAATGTCAACCACTGATTATAGACTGTAGGTTGTGGAGGCAATGGATTTGTGGAAGTATCTGGTGATTTTTTTCATGCCTCACACTCTGCTACAAACTTAGTTGTTCAGAATAACCTGTCATTAAAGAGGATGCTCAAAAGACTTTGAGGATATAGACTAGATGCGCTAAGCCAGGCACTTATAAAAGGACAACACCTCATGTGTGACTGACTTTACTGTATAAACTTAAGTCTGAATAACGCACAACCTAACAGAATGGTAAGGCTCCCCCAGTGCAAGGGGGGTGAGATGGGAATTTGAACATTCAAAAGCAACCTAAAGATGTAAAACAAAGGTGAAAACTGAACAGAAATCTCCAGAAATGTTTAAGAGATGTTGTGTGGTGCAAAGAATATCAAGCTTTGAACAGTATAACTTGATCTGGAAAAGCAGTCTAGTGCTGTATAAAATGATCCTTTGCTTCACTAATAAGGAAACTGAGAATAATTCAAATTTCTTTTTAATACAGTTGCCAAACTTGGAGCCATTGCTCTAATGGGCCATCCCTTACCACAGCTGTCAATAGTAATAAATACATGGGATTCTGTATGAATTATGTTCAGTATATTACAAATGAGATCAGTGGCATCTCTCTAAATATCATTAATTCATCCCTAAAAAGAGAGCCAGCATTGGAGTTTTCCAATGGGCACTGAACATTTGGGACTGCATAGTCCGCGAGAATCTGCATGCTACTTTTCATAACTATTAAATTCAAATGCAGAAAAACTTAATTCGGTTTAGTTGGGTAGAAATTGTTTACACAGAGCTGTTCTTAAAAATGTATGGTAGTAAAAGCACAAACGGCCAATCCAACTGCCACTGAAGCTTTTTCCATTACCGCTTTCTCGAGACATTGTCGATAAGACTTTGACAGAGATTGAATTGCTAGGCATGACTCGCATGGCTGCCCTCTGACCAGAAATGGTCTCATTTTATCAAGAGTTGCACTCTATTGTCAGCCCTCTGCAGTCTGCTGATGCACAGTGTGCTCAGCGTGTTGATGACCTAGAGCAGAGGTAATGGATTAGCAGACTGTGGTCCAGATCCGGACCCAACCTAATTTAAAGGGGTCATAGAATGCAAAACAGAGTTTCAGTTGTCATAGATGAATGACCCTAGTTCAATGGGTGAAATGGATGTTCAAACCCCATCGACACCTTTCTCTACAAATCTCACAGTTCTAAACTTCTACCATAAAACGTGTGAATCCAAATGAAGCACCGAACTGATGTCAATTCAGGGATGTTGCCTTATGTGGCCTGTACTTTTGTCACGCCCCAAAATTGACATACAGACCAGCCCACTGGTTCACTGCCCCAAGAACATGAATAGAGGTAGATGTAAGACACCAGTTTAGCCTATCGTTGGATTTACTTCTACAAGAATTACAAAGCGGGCAATTTCACAACCACAAGCTGGAAGTATGATTCTGTTGCTGAGCTGTTGATACTAATGCTAGCATAACTGGTCTGGACTGGGCATTCAAACTGAGCCATCAGGTCCGGGGCTGGTCCGGGGACCCCGGCGGAAAGGGGCAGGGAGCCCAAACCCAGCCCGATGACGTTATGCTTCCCTCCGCCTGCCTTACCGCCAGTGTAGGGTCGGCTTTGGTCGCTCCGTCCCAAGCAGGCTCTCTGCCCCCGTCCACCGGAGCTCACGGCTTGGTTTGAATGCCCAGTGTGTTTCGACTACATGCTGCACTGTAGTCGATCAAAATGATGAAACCATTTTTAGTAACAAGTAATCTAACTAATTACTTTGACTAACTACAGTATAACGCAGTTACCATTGCCGACACCCCGTTACTGCACGTTACTCAGGTCTCACCATGAACCTTTTTTTCATGATAGGACTCGTGCGCGCCTTGTGATGAGAGCGGGGAGGATGAGATTTGCTGATGTATAGTGAGATTCCGTATGTCAGTTGGGTAGGTGGGTGTTTTCGCTGGCGGTTGTTAACGTACAGCACACACAGAGAGATGGAGAGTGAGGAGGACTCCAGCAGCAAAACAGCATTTTCCAAATGGAAATACCGGTGTTATGTCGAGCTGCGTTTCCCCATCAGATACGGCTTCCCCTGCATCTCCAGACAGCGCAGTCGGCACGATTCACTGCGCACGCTACAGGAAACGCACATGCTCTCTAAAGGCGTGTTACAGCCACCCTGTGCTCGCACCACAGGGGAACTAAGGAGAGCGTGAACGATCAAATGTTAACCTATATGGAGAAAGGGAGAAATCAGGATGGATGGATGGATGCTGCAGTATCTATTACAACCCAAACACACAGAATTTCAGAATTAGACATCCCCAGTTATTAATTTCATACACAGACCAGATCTGAGCGCCCTGTTAAAACTTCACACCCATGAGTAAAGGTATTGCAGCCTGATATTTAAACCGCATAAGATAGTGTTCCCCCATGTTAAGCAAGGGAAACGCTATCTGACGGGGTTTAGAAGCCCATCAGATACCGCTCCCCCTGATGTCATTTATGTCATATGGCAAGAAGGTGGGGGGCCGAGAAATGCTAAAGTAACGCAATAGTTGCCAGCAGAACAAGCTCCACACTTCACCTCTTGACCAGCTGGAGACAAGCACAGCTTTGGTCAGGAAGGGTTAAACTAGGGATAAAAGATAATCTCTGCGATGAATCTCATCCGTCAGGTAGATGCGGTGGCCACCTCATTTTGTGGGTCTAAAGTGATTTCACCACATGACAATGTAAGCTTGCTATCAGCCATCTATGTGTAGACACAACATTTGGAGCAAATATGCTTAAAGCAAATGTGCTTATTGCCTTGTAGGAGAGATTAAGTGAGATGATGTTGTTGGGAACTTCAGTCATTCGGGAAACGGTTGCATCTATGTCTTGGATGTTATTCTTGTCTCTACACAGTCATAAAAAATGTTAACTTTAGGTTAAACCTGACCTGAAATACCATTAGTGTAAGTCTGTGGTCCAACAGATCTATATTCTTCACCGCCTGCTTTAGTGAGGTCTTTACCCCTGTTAGTTTATATTGCATCACTAGTCACTCTTACTTTACTGTTTAATTAATGTAAAGCAATTTGAATTGGCTGCCATGCACCTAGGCCTCCTTGCTTCTTCCCGGCAAGCCAATTAGTTCCAGACTACCCCACTAGACTAACAGTGGACATCCAGAGCTTTGGTCAGGAAGCTTAAAACTGAAGTTAAAAGACAGTATGCTCTTATAAAAATGTTTTATCATGCGTATTATAGCGGAGAAAACACATTAATCCCAGACATCCAGTACCTTTTTAGCTCTATCCAATATACATGGCTTCAATAATTACGCATTCTATGTGTAAAGGATTTATGAGAAATCTCACTACATAAATAGGCTTCATA